GGGTGCATTCCGTGCCCTCGTCCAGGTCATTGATAAACAAGTTGAACAGCACTGGGCCCAGTACCCAGGCTACCTTCTCTTAAGATAAGTTTCTAATTCAAATAAGTAAGTAAGAAAGATTTTTTTTTTTTTTTTTTTTTTTTGGTAACGGCATAAGATTCCCTGTATTGTGCATTTTCACTAACTTATGTACTATTCCCATTACTTCCAAATAACATGATAAGAAATTGTGAAAAACAAAATGCGGGGAAATTTTTCCTCCTGGACCACTTACAAGTTAGCATACCTCATATTCTACTTTACTGGTAACATCACAGGACTTTTAAAATCCAGACAATATAAAAGATACATTCATTTAGCATTTCAGAAAATTAATATATTTTCTAAAATATTAAAAAAAAAAGAGAGATGCATTTTTAAAACAATTCTCCTAAAATTCACAGTTTTCACTTTATTTTATACTGGTGCCTAACAACATGATGAGGTCAGATTTTTTTACATCCCTGGAACTGAGATTTACTAATCCCAGAACATATTTTACTGCTTGTTAAGCAATGTTGTCAATAAAGAAAATAGCTATTCTGTATGATAGGACAGCGGCTCTGTAAAGACAGCTTCCATAAAACTGATGTTATACAGTTAGAAAACATATCAAGATTAAAAAAAAAGAAAACTCTGAGTTAAGAGAAAAATTTAGTAAAAATTGAAATGTAGCTTTATCAGGGTAAAATTATATTCTGCCAAAAATGTAAAGAAGCACTGGCTGTACAAAAAGAGGGATATTCTTATGTTTTAATACGCAATATATTTATCTTTATTTTGGATTTTCTGAGGTATCACGGCCTATTAAGTACAAAGGTGATTAATGCAGAATGTATTTACTAAAATGTAAGACATAAACAAATGTATTTATTACTACATAGATCTTAAGTCTCAAAAATGTGAAATATTTAAGTTAAAATGTTAGAAGAGGTTGAAGACATTGTTATTTTTAGAACTATAATCACACATCATAATCATTTTGCAATAAAATTTTAAGCTGCATTCCCTATTAACATTCTGTTTGTGATTACAAGAAAGCACACTTACTATGCAGTCTGATTTAATACACAGATCTAAGTTATATATACGCATATAATCAGCTACAAATATTTGGCAAAGAAATATTTCATCAGTTAAGATAACATTAATATTTCTAACAATCATTCTCAGGATTTGAGCACTCATTCTCTTCTATGGAGAAGAATTTTTCAAAAATTAACCTTTTACATAACAATATGCAGCAGATACACACAGGCATGCTAAAATATCCAATATGTGGATCACTTTCTGTAAGAAGAGCTAAAAATTATTTCTACTAACCTCTAATATCAGAGTTATAAAGAAAATATTGATTTTAATTCTCAATATTAAGGAGTATATTGTAAATATATAAGTGCATATAATAAAATCAATACTTACTATGACTGACTGGAAACATATTAAACAACATATTTCAGAAATATTGCTTTATTTCTTTATTTACCACTTATGCTTTGAAAATTTTCTTCTATTAAATCAAAAATGAGCTTTAACTTTGGCAACCATAGATATGACTTCATTCATTCATTCAAGGCAAACAATGTTAAATCCAGTTCTTACTCAAGGAAAGCTGTTAAAAAAAAAAAAAAAAAAAAAAAAGAAAGTAAAAAGAGAGAGGATGCAAGAGAGCAATGGTGGGAGATTTAGAAATCTCTAATTCCCAAAATGATATACCTCAATGTATACCTTTCACATGAAGTGAATTTTGCATTTTTGAAGACGAATTTTGCATTTTTGAAGACAAGTGGCCTTTGTGGCCTTTGAACAAGTAATATTGTAGTTAGTATCAGTATATCATCTTTACATTTTGAAGGGCATGAATTATTCACTTACTTTTTCATCAGGAAATTCAGTAAAGGGACTGAATTTGTGTTTATATAGCATTGCATTCAAAATTCATCCTTGTCTTTTTTTTTAATTTATTTAACTCTCTTTGGTGGTAACAAAATAAAAACATAAATTACATGAATGGAACAAATATTGAGATACCAAACAGAAGAGAAAGCAGAAAATAACATACGTTAAATGTTAGGAGATGCAAGACAGATACAAGACAGGTGTGATATAACCTGGGGGCAAGTTTAATTGAATAAAACTAAATGAGGCACTATTGATTGTCCTAGTTCATCACTTCCTTTACATTTTTTTTTTTTTTTAATGAAATGCTTAGGAGTAAATTCCTGATTATGTGTGTAAAACCATCGTTGTGTCCTTAATAAAATGAAATAGAAGCTGCATAAGACAAATTCAGTTAAAAAAAAATGCTGATACTACGCAGCTGGATGCTAGTTTTAGAAAGGAAGTTACATGTTTTAATGCAATTTCTTCTCAAGGGCTACTAAGGAATCTAGGGCTGTCTAGGAACTGAGTCTTTCTTTTTAATTTGATTTCTCAACACTGCAGTGTTAGGTAGTTATCATGGATACCGATGAAGAAAAAAGAGGCATATTGACAAAAAAAAAATATTGACTTGACTACAAGATCAAAGAATGAAGATCAAAGAAAGTGAATATGTCAGAATATGGAGGGAAAATAAAAACTAATTAGATTCTTATTCAGCAACCATTCAATTAGACTCTGGTTTATCCTGTTAATCCAAGTCTCATCTAATTTTTCTCATATTTAATTTCTACTCATCAGCTAGTTGCTTATTTTGTACTACCCTCAATAATGTTTTCTAGAAGTATTTATATAATTGTTCATCCTGATGGCTCTTCCTGGCTTCTTTCCTTGTTTCTTCATCCCACACAAATGACACTGTCAACAGGGTAGAAATTTCTTGTTTCTGAGATTCCTCTTTTTTTTGGGGGGCAGCCTTTGAAAGAATCCATGACAAGCTTTAAATATTTACAATATCTCTGAATGGAATTTATTCTGTAAAACAGAAAAAAAAAGTTCTACATAATAAAAACAAAAACAAACAAACAAACAAAAAGCCTTTCTCACTGCATCCTGCAGATAGTTCTGCAAGTCTTCCTTTACCTTGCACCACAATCAGCACCGTATGTTGGCACTAAGTATGTTTGGGTTGTTCATGCACCTCTCTGTCAGATACTCTTTTCTGGTCTGGCTGAGTTTTGGTGCTCTAACATGAAAAATAACAGTATATCTAAATATTTTGTTTAATTTTTCTAATTACTACAGAAAAAATCCAGTTACTATTAATAGAATGATCTCCCCATTTTATAGCATCAAGCCTTTTTTTTTTTTTTTTTTTTTTCCCCCCTCAGTGTTATGCTCATCCTTTCAATAGTCTTCCTCGAGCAAAATGGGACAGGGTTACAACAAGCTGTCATCGTCATCCCAAGGTCAGCTTCACTGGTCACCTCATGATCTTCCAGTGTAGGTTTCTTCCTCCTCTGTAATGGGGTCCTCTGGGGCCTATCCTGACATTTTTCTGTCACCATCTGTTTCCTTGTCTTTGTCTCCATTTCAAGTTTGAAAGTTGCACAAGAGCCTCCCACAGCCTTAAAAAACAGAAAGAGCTGTTGGGTGCACAGTGACTGCCTCAGCTGCTCAGACCTTTACTGTGGATGGCATTCCCAGGTCTTCAGCTGAAACAGGTGAGGCCACTTAGTCACAAGCCCCTTGTTTAGGCAGCCTAGAGTGAGCTTGGGTCAGGGCAAGCACTATTCTGTCATTTCAGTCTGACATTTATGGCATTTTAACAGCAAAAATTGTACTTACTGAGCCACAATAGGAAATTTACAGAAAATTATCTGCTTCTTTTTGCAATCTCAGTTTATTTAAGGTAAGTTCTGTGAGCTCTCCCTAGATTTCAGCTGCTCTCGAAAACTTGCACAGATTAACTCTTTGCCATCTTATTTTATTCTCACCCTATTTATTAGTCCTAAGTTATTCCTAATAAATCCTCTCTGAGACTTCGCCGTTTTATTTAACAGCCTTAACGTAGGCCATGCAACTTTGCCGTTTTAACAATTAACCCCTAATTCCTTCTTTGCCTGGTACTTACAAGTTATATTTGCTTTGTCCATCTTCACTAATACTCAACAACTTCAGGGCTTTTTTATGTTTCAATGTTACATTTTCCTTATCAATTATACTGGATTTCAGAAACAGCTACATCCATTTTTACTTGGTGCCTTTAAGATATCTGTTTATTTTGGCAATCTCATCCTTTCACACAGTGCAGGGAAAAAAAAACATTTTTAAATATGCATAAAATGAAATGAGGCTTTCAGGTAATATCAGTCTCAAGACTGTTTTCTGTTTTGCAAAGTATTTATGGAGTCATCTCCATTCACTGCTCCTTGAAGAGAACTACCATGGATTTGAAAAATATTACTCAGCAGTTGTCTTGCAGTAAGTAGACTTGTGTTTAATGAAAGTGGTGTTTAAAACTTTTAACTGCTTTTTCTCTACTGCTTTTTAAAAGATGCTTAGTTTAAAAATATATTAGCAAGTCTTTACCTTTTTGAAGTCAGTATTTCTGTACCTTGATTCATCTCTAAGTAGATGCATACAACACAGAGAGTTGTATCTTTTCTTGTATTAATTCCTAGAGTGTAGGTCTACTCATGTTTCTTTAATCAACCACCCTCAAGTCATGCAAGCCCAGGGCCATATCTCCATTAAGTTTGGGACTGTCTCTGTAATTGCTGTCACCAGCAGACAGTGAAAGACAGTGAAATTCATTTGCTTTCCCAGTTCTTGAGCTGCAGGAGGAGATGTGCTAAACAACAGAGTATTTGTTTTATAAAAAAAAAAAACAAAAACAAAAAMAAAAAAACAAAAAAACAAAACAAAACAAAAAAACTATTAAGCAGAATAAAAAATTAAGATACCTGGAAGGGGAAGAGGCTATTTAATGAATGAAAGAACATTATTTTCCTTAATAAATGGCACTTCAGTTTCAGGATGGGAAAAGCTGCTGTTTAACTGTTGACAGCAAAGCAGGAGCATGTAGCAATTTACCAAAGGCTGGGACCACTTCCCAAATCTCTTTCATTTTTGTACAAACAACTAAAATGACTGGCAGGCCAAACTTTGCAGGAATGCTGGGGATCTCTATGTGGTAATTTTGGCTGATTTCTTTTGGCATGGTCTTACTAGGCCTTTTCATTTACTGCCAATGGCAGCTCCCTCTGAATGACTAGTAGTTTTAGTTGGGCAAAAAAAAAAGAATTTCTAGCCATTAGTACTCATTTTCTACAGGCAGTTGTAAAAAGCTGGGGACCCTGCTAGGCCTTGCTGTCCTGGCTGAGACCGCCATTTCAGGGCCGCAGGGCCCCTCCGCCACTGCCCCGCCATTTTGCAGCAGTGTCGACTCCTGCCCAGCCATGGCTCGGTCCTGCAGATTCTGTCCTGCAGTGGTGTGGGATGCCTGGGGCTGGGGCCGTCCTGGCCGGAGCTGTGCTGGGCCTTTCCCCACTGACACCTCTGAAGAGAGCAATGGAGACTTTTTCTCCACCCTGTGCTAGCAGCTTGCCGGGTTCGGTGAGCCTGGGCAGCTCTGGAGCACGGAGGGAATATTTCAGCCCTGCACATCCTTGTTTCCCTCCTGATAGCAGTAGTGCACATGCCCTCATGTTTATCACCTCTGGAGAAGGGGATGCCTGTTGATTGCCAGGCAAACCTGGAATTCCTCTGAATGCTGAGTTTGACTTAAAAACCAAATCATGAATTCGAAGTATAAAACTCAGGTAGGAAAAAGTGTGGGATAAGCAATATAATTAGAAGGGAAATGACAACATGTCTCACATATTCTCTATGTTAGTTTAGCTTAAGGGTGGTCTTTTTATTTCTGTATTTCTTACAGTTGGTTGTCCATGAAGCCCAGCTACATGGATAGAGTCAGCTGTCAGACAGGTTATGTCTTCTGTACAGGGTGAGTCTGTCCCTCGCGCCCTGATGCCCATAGCTGCCTCCTCAGGGCAGGCCACTGTGGATGTTAATTTCCAGAAACTCTGGAGCTTAACAACTGTGAACTTCTCATGAACGAAGCAGTAGGATAGCTCTCGTCTTCCAGGTCTGTTACCTAGCTGTCCACTGAAATAAGGTTTACTTTTGTCATCACATTAGCTGAATGTGAACAAGAATTTAAAACAGCACAAATGGACACGAATTCTTCAGAGTTACTATGTACTAATTAGTTTTTTATAGCAATTCATACATTACACACAAATGATGAAAAGGAAGAGTAAAAATTATTAATCCAGCTTTTGACAGAGACTAAAGGTACTGAGAAGAACTTCATTATTGTAGCTGCTGAGAAGGCATCATAACTTTTTTAGTTCTACAGATTATTCTAATGAATCATGTCCACTCCATACTTGCACCCAGACAAAACACTCTTTGACTTTGCTACTTTGGCTTAATGAGAACAGTGAATCCAATGCACACTAGTTCATAAAAGACAAGCTAGATGGGAGAGCAGAAAAGTTAACATAGTCTAATCTCTATTGGCATCTATCATTTTATTTTGTGTTCTCTGAATGACGGATATTTGCAGAATAATCCATTCCTTTTGAAGCTTTCACATGAATCAAGTTTCTTGAAAGCTTTCACTTGAAGGAAGTATGTATACTGTTGCACTTGATCATTAAAAACTTGAATCTCAGTTTCCTGTGGAAGATTCCCTGTGTTTTTAATGGGCATTTTTTTTTTTTTTTTTTTTTTTTACTGATAGAATAGGCAAAGAAAATATATCACCTTGTATTTTTTCTCTTATAAATGTGTTTTAGAAAAAATCCTTAAAATTCATTGTTGTTGTACCTGATGGTAAAACTGTCTTACATATGTTTTTCTTCACTGGATTATTACATTAATTAGATGAAAGCAACAAAACTATTTTTATTATATCAGCTTTTCAAAATGTATTAAAATTTAATTCTATTCAGTAATCTGCTATCAGCAAATTCGATCTCTTGGATTCCAGGTCTGAGGATTTATGTTATACCAGAAGCCAGAAAAATGACTATGTACTGAGCAGCATGTCCGTAATAATTCAGAATTAAGGGAGTGGAAAGAGTAAAACTACTGGCTTAATATTATCAATGAAGAGCTATTTATGAATGAATTGCTAGTAAAAATAAGGAAGACAGTGAAACGGTTACCAAATCCAGTAACTGAGTTCTGCTCTGCTGTATCCTTTTTCTGTGGTTAACTGAAGAATTGGCATTGAATTTATCTCCCTTTTTCTAGATAAAATCAAATGAAAATAGTGAAAAATAGTTGAGAAGTTACTTATTAGTGATTTCTGATGTGGTAACCCCAGTAAGATATTTTTCTGTTTTGTTTTCTTTCAAAGCTCTGCCTGTTTTGATTACTTGGGAAAAGATAGAGGGCTAATTGTATTTAAAAACTACTTGTCTGTTGAGGAATTTTGATATTTTAACTAAGTAAACCAAGCTAAATTTGTAAACCAATCGACCAATGCTATGTTAGAAATTTGAGCTAATTACATTTGAAGCAAAATAATGGTTTATATTTTCCTCCTGGAAAATAGAGGTTCTTGATCTCCTACTCTCCTTGTCATTAAATTGGATTTTCTGTTTTAAAGAAATATTATACCACAGTTCAAAGTAGTAATCACAGACATGCCAAATTTTGGGGTACATGTCCATGGGTTCTTATACAAGAAGTCAGACATAATGATCTTAATGTTCCTTGTAAGATATGAATTTGCAGTTGCTGAGAGAAAAACCTACATGTAAGAAGATTATGGCAAAATCCAAAGCTGCTGAAATGTATTAAGAGTTTTCTTTTTTTTTTTTTTTTTTCCCTAATCTTCAGAGCTATAAAATAATAAGAATGGCTTTTACTTTTTAATAGAAGTATTTCAATGAAAGATGTCCTCTTGAAATTTCAAAGTGCACTGTAAGGAAACTTCATACCAAGAGATGACATAAACACCTACCTGGTGTTTTTGATTCCCTGTGTCTGTACCAGCTACTCCAAATCCTTGGTAAATCAGATAAAACAATAAAAACAATAACCACCCACCCACTCATCCCCTTAAAAAAGCCACATCAAGGCAGTCAGATGAAGAAATTTCTTGCCACTGCAGACCATGGCTGTTCAGCAGTTTGGCAATAATGACACATCTCCTTCAAACCTTCAAAACTGGTCAAACTGTTATTGTCAGAGAAGTACTAGCAATCAGGTTTAAAGGCTGAAATAGAAACTTTACAGCTATCAAGACAGCACCAATCCTATGGCTGCTACCACTGAATAAAAACTAACGCTCTCCTAAAACACTGCTTGATGTTCCATTGTAGTGGACAAGCCCCAGAGCAAAAATCAAGATGATGCCTGTAATCTCCCTGTGCTTTCCCTCTGTCATCATGAGGAACTGCAGGGGCAGAGGAAGAAACAGGACAGAAATAAGAAACAAGTTCGAGCTCTGGGGAAGTTAAAGGGTTATGTCAGAGTAGAAATGAGATATCTGCGGATCATGGAGTAATCTTACATCAGTCTTGCACAAATTATGTTCACATGTGTTCTTACAGCATCTGGCAATATTATACATACAAGAAGATATTGGTTTGAATATTTTGCATGCTAAATATTGTGGGGTACACTAAATAACTGTATAATTGGCTCCATCACAAATGGCATCACTTGCATAGATAAATAAAAAAGAAAAGCAATATTTAACCTTTTTGAACTAAGGCATAATACAAACCTTAGCATTATACAAACAATTTTGATAATGAATGCTGTAAGAGACAAAGCTGTGATAAAAGCTCACTCAGAATTTTCTCTTCTACTTGACATTTTATAAACAGGGCCTTATGATGAGAGAATTTTAACAAAAAGAAAAACAAGATATACCACTTATTTGAGTGTTTGGGTAGACTCAAGTAAAGGGTATATGAAAAATAAGTTAATGGACTGAAGTTTATAGCTGTGTGTATAACTGTCAAATCTCTGTGTAAATTACCTTTCTCTTCTGCTGGCTAGAATGCAAAAATCCAATAAACTGTTAATAAAAATGGAAAGGTCATATGTAAATACCACAGATCTTGAAAATGAACCAGAAAAGTATGATAGTTTGCACACAAATATCATTTCATTTTCTATTTCACTGTGTTTAAAATAGATTGGGGTTCAGGATGTGTGTTTTTATGAAAGTATGTTGAGAAAAGATTCTATTAAAAATAGATATGCTTTAAATGTGAAAACAAGTGTTTGAGCACTAATTGGCTATTTGTTTCTGCATCTGAGAATGAATTTATTTACATTATTGAAAAATCTCAAGAAAGAGACTGATTGAATTACTCTTACCATTCCCAAGAACATTTACAATGGAATAAGTGTTCTGTGTCTTCAGCCCATGTAAGCACATACTTGTTTTGTATTTGTATTTACACTGAAGTATGTTGTTAATACTTTCTAAAGGAAAAGCAGATCAATTTTGCACAAATTATTCCTTCTTCCATTAAAGATAGAGTAAAAATGTACTTTTTTTCTAATACTGCTCACCTCCTTAAGAAATTACTAAATTCCTAATCTTTTTTTTCTGATCTGTTAAGCAACTAGGGGATAGAATATTATAACTAAATATCTATAGGTGAAAGGGGTATTGTTTCTAATTCATTTTTCTCTCAGAGTGATCTCTAGGCAGCATATTGGTTTAGGAATGACCTGTAAGATCAGTGCTTTGTAGCGACACACGGATAAAAAGCCCCTCTGCTTTGATTTTGAAATCAAAGGTGCTTTAAAATTATGGCTATAACCCACTTATTTTTCTAAGTAGAAAGATAAATAATGGATTTAATCAAGAGTAAGCATCAAAAATAAATCAGAAAGGACAAGGAAGGACACAGGATGTAGCCATAGGTTTGTGTATATATATTATTACCGTTAGGTCTCGGTAACAAACACCTTCTTGATAGTTTGTTTTTAAAGGATTTTTTTTATTGCCGTTTTATTGAAGTTGCATTTTGTGTGCCATTTAAATTGAGTGGTAGAAAGCAAAGGTCACTCGAACAAAGGGAACACATAGGGATTTCCAGTCTTTTCTGAAAAATAAAGGAGAATCTTACTGTTATTTTTGAGGAAAGCTTTACTTTCTTTTTTTTCTTTTTTTTTTTTTTTTTTCCCCTCTGAAGTACTGTAACTTCTGAATTACAACAAATCCAGATCAAAAAAGAGTACATTTGTAAAGAGATCTGGTCACCGAAATCAAAAGCTGAGGTCAAACTTTCACACAGTGTGTTTTATTTGGGTAATGTGTTGACAACTTCCACTACGTATCTGAATGCAAAGGGGAATAGGATAGAGTACAGCTTAACTATCTACTACTCTTGACTTCTAGGAGACGGCATAAAATGCTAGTGTATAATCAAAATCTTTTGGGTGAAGCTTGGTCCCTGACTGCTCTGAGGGTGGGCATGCCTCCCATTTCTACACTTTCATTTATATGTGACTCATGCTTTTAGTGCAGACAGCATTTGGGAGCTATCTGCACTATACCAGACACAGGCAAGCCGAGGGCCACAGTAACAACAGCCCCGTAGCCCCTGAGGAATCTGCTCCATGCACATGGTATTTTTCAGTGTTCCCTGGACACAAGCTAGGGTTCTTCCTGGGATGTATTAATATATTGGTGCAATTTTCTGCTTCTGTTATAATAATAGAGAGAAATAGTAATTACTCCATCCTCAGAAGGTAGTATTGGTCCCCCAGGATTTATCTTAGAAAAGTCTGATGAAGCTGAATCCATTTAAGGAGCTGTGAGAAACTTACAAGTCATGATCCAAAGAAATCCCCCAAAAGATAGTATCACTCTTTGCGTAGATGTAACAAACTAATTTGTTGTTTATGTAAAGAAACAGGATCAGAAGCAGAAAAAAAATCCCTTAGCATATTACACAGTGGTTTCTGTCACAACTGTTTGCAAAACAACAACAGCAAAATTATATTTTTATTTCTTTTACAGACTTGATGAAATAATGTGTGAATGCTTAAATATAGATTTGCAGATATGGATGTGTAAAAATAACTGGAAAGCAGCCTCAGATAATAGAAATTAATTTGTGAATACATTTCTGCTGTGGTTTCAATAATAAAAATGCCACACAAAACACTGAAGTATTGAAAATCCTGGTACTTCTGTGCCAGTGGAGGAGCCTGTATTTTATTCAGTAAAGTAGATCCTTATACTAGAAAACCTGAATAGAATAGAATAGAATTAGCATGAATTATGACTTTGTCCAAATGAAAATGTACATCTAGTGTATGATGAAGAGTTTTAGGATATATATTATGGATTGCCGTAAGGATTTGTAGTCTTACTGAAAAAATGTGACTCTTCTACATAAATAAGAAAGTTATTTCATCTCTTCTGCTGCAGTATGCTTTTGAGATTCCTGAGCTCAGTGACTTTTACAAACACAAGAAGTGAATTGATCAAATAATCTTCAGAACCACTGTGCTGTCATTTTTTCATTTTCTATGCAATTCTTTTCTCTATGTGTCAGCTCATGTGGAAGGCGAAGAGGCACATTCTATAACCTCAGTAACAATAATTGGATTAAACGCCTCTTATTTTTACTAACTCTCAGCATTTTTAAAATATTATGCTTTGAAGACCTTGAGGGGGTCTTAAGTGTAAACTTGCAGGTGTTTTCAGCTTCCATTTCTGTCATGCAGATTTTCAAGCAATATGCAGAGATGTATTTACAAAACATCTAGGAATGAAATGTTCATGGTGCATAATTAATAGCTGCATAGAAGCTGGTGAGCAACACACGTCACAAAACTCAGGCTGGAAGTAATTGTGACATATGCCAGTGCGTCCCAGAGGCAGATGCTCTGTGTTTTTTTTCCTCTCTTTTTTTTTTGAAGGCTTAGATGGTGTATTAAGTAATATGCATAGAAATAAGATTTATGCTTTTCTCATGCGACTGATCCCCTTCACAAACCGTACCAAAGCTCGCTGTAATCTGTAGAGACTCCTCCTGTCTTTAACTGAGGTTGGACAAAAGAAATGGCTTTAGTGCATATGCTATGGCATCTTATTCACCTGCTTATTTTAAGATAAGTTCTAAGTATTATAGATTGACCACTGTTCTGATATTCAGAAAGGATGAATACTCTCAAAAAAATAACTTAAGGAAATACTTACCTACTTACCCACATTTGAATGAAAAAGATCAGAAAAAAAAAACTTAAGTGGGGAGTGTTCTGTCCCAAAAAGGTATCTTGGAATTTGTAAAAGGTTTTGAGGGGAGGATTGTCCTTATTATTACAATTATGAAAACATCTCATACCAGTTATTTTATTTCCATTTCTGTAAGTAAAATGTGCGACTGTAAAACCTCCTAGATGTTTTCCATTTCTTTGAGTTCACTGTTAGGCAGGCAGGTAAAAGAACTCTGCAATGGAAAACAAATTCAAACAAAAGAGAAGGGCCTTGACAGTCAGAACATTTCTTTTTTTTTTTTTTTTTCTTTTTCCATTCAGAGCTCTCATAGGTCAGTAACATCAAAACCACTCACTACTTTGTAATAAAAACAGCTGTTGGGTGTATCCTGAACAAATTAAAATCTTTCCTTGCTCCTAAATCAGAAATATTTGTGTGATCATTCTAGTAGTAAAGAGGTAGCAAACATCTATTGAAACTAGTATCTTTGTGTAAAAATCTTAAAAAGAAAAATCAGTAGTCTAGTTAATGAAAACAAAAGAGAAGTTCGGTTGTCTGCCATTGTACTGTTTTTC